TGTTATTGGAAAAGAGATGAAGACACGTGGAAGATGGTGTATTTGATCTGACGGCTGAGATGAAGCCAGAAGATGAACGGCTCAGATGAATCCATGAGATCAAGTGTTTAAAAGCAATGCAGAAACAGATTTTGAGATCATAATCGAATATCTTGTTGAATTTGTTTTCTTGTTTAGAGATTCTTTCTCTTTCTCTGTAATCATCTCTTGTAGCTAGTTCATTGCTAGTGAATTGAGATTTGAATCGGTGTTTCTCTTGAACATTGATTTGGTTGTGAATAATACAAGTACAAACTTCGTTATCAAGAGACGGGAAACTCGGCATCCAAAACTCATCAACACCTTTGCATCGAGAATCTTGGCCGGTGCGATAACGTTTGGATGGAGCTTGTAGTCGCGGCGGTGAAGTAGAAATTGGCATTCGTAGCCTTCGGATATGGAGCAGAGACACAAAGTCTCTATGCCGGAGTCGAAGGGAGAAGGAGCCAGGGGGTGATAGTATCGGACATCGAAGGTTTTCCGATTTGGTGCCGTCCAGATCTAGAAGGGTCTTCGGCTTAATCCGAAGGTGTTGGAGGGTGGGTAGGTTGTGGGACGATTGGGCTTTACCGGTGAATACACAACCGGCAAGAGCCGATCTCCTCGGTGGAGAACCGAGAGCCAATACTGGAGTAGCATATGAGAAACTCCGTGAACCTGGAGTGGAGAGCGATGGTAGAGGTGGGAGGAGTATATCCGGCGGGTCAGGCGGCTCAGGGGGCTCCGGTGGGCGGAGGGAGTTCACGAGCATCGCCCTGTCCCTCGCGCTGACATCGGAAGGGAGGAAATCGTCACCATCTCTCTATCTCTACGAGCCATGGGCCAGCTCGCGACGGCCGAGAGACGAGTCCCGTCAACAACAACAATTCCGACAGAGGGAGGCGAGTGAGGTCCAATCTTCCCGAGCACTTCGAATATTCCAAGAGAAGGCGGAGCGGTGCTAGAGAAGGAGAGGGGGATCTGAACGGCTAAGCATCGACGGAGGAGGTGCATTGTTGTTGTTGCCGGCGGCTCTTCGGGGAGTGTGTCCGAGAGAAAAGGGCGAACTCTCTTCCACAGGAACTTGTATTTTGTCAAGTTTCGTGATGTTTACAATTCACACGCACAATCCTAGATTGAAATTGGGTTTTTTTACACAATAACATCGTTAGTACAAGTTACAATGGTACAAGCTTTGGCATGTTAGCTATTTATATAAGTGTAATCGTCAATAAAAGAAATTGTAGAAGAAACTACATATTTCTCTTTTGTATAGTTACAAAATTTTATAGAAAAAAAGGAACTAAACTGAAACCGAATTAAAATCCGACTTGGAACATATTATTCCGGTTAATTTTTTATTATAAATTTTATCTTGTTTTTGTCCAACTGTGGAAATGTTGTATCGTTTTCCATTTTTTAAATAAAAAATCTTGTATTTGACTATGTTAATTTTGGAGTATGCATGTGGTGGAGTCTCACAAGGGTTTCACTAAATATAGATTTGGGTGGGTAGTGATGAAACAAGAGAATCATGTGGAAATTCGGGGTCCCTCATTTCAATGTCGATTGTCTCCTCAAATTTTGTTTTCTCCTTTTAAATGAAATATTCGTATCAATCCAAAAATGTGAATAATTATGATGGAATTTATGAAATGCGATAATAAAAATGGGTGTTGATTCTTGAAAGGTCCTTCCTTTTGTTGTAACCATATATGGAAAGGCCATGATTCCATATCTAAAGTCCAAAGGCCAACTTCTAATGCTCACTTCCAATCTACATCAAATCTATAATATATATTCTCGTTTTCCATAATTGAGTACTATTAATATTGTTGGAGAAACTTTTGATTAATGATTTGAGATGAAGTCTATATTTTGTTAGTGATGGTTTCTTTTTGTCGATCACATTAGAGTCAATTTAGTGTATGTAATTGGAATTTGGAACATAGGTTCATTTTAGTTGAAAAAGGCATATGACAACCTAAAAGCAAGTACAAGTAGCATTAGTTATTAGTTAATGCCCTCAAATTATTATTTTCGACGTTATGCATGAAAATTTATGCAAGAACATTGTTCTAGCTCAAAGTAGAAACCTTGTATAGACTATCAAATTTTCGATAGATATTGTTGGTCGGGTCTAAAGAGATGCTAACCGAAATAATTATATGATAGGTCTTGTGAAAGTCAAATTAGTAGGCAACATTGGCTGTAAGAGGCTAAAAGGGGTTTTTGTTTTCT